CTTCAGACATCATCTTCCTTAACTGCTTCCGCCAACTCAAGATCAGGAAAGAAAGTCTGTCTCCTCTCCAAACCCCTTTGGTCGGTTTCACTGGTGATCGGGTGACCTCCATCGGCTCCATCGACCTCCCCATGACAATCGACGAGTACCTACGCCAGACCATCAAGCTGCTCACCTTCCTTGTTGTCGACTGCCCCTTTGCCTACAACATCATTCTTGGCCGCACCGCCCTGAATGCTTTTCAAGCTATCACATCCACTTACCACCTTGTCATCAAGTTCCCCACCGATCTGGGGGTTGGGACAGTGAGGGGAGAGCAGACCGTGGCCAGGGAATGTTATGTCACCTCACTCAAAGAAGTCAAGCTGAAGGAGGCTATGATCATTGAAGGACTCGATGTCAGAGATGATGACGAACTGGTTAGAGGGGAACTAGTGGAGGAGCTCGTCGAGGTCCTCGTCGACCCCACCAACCCGGCCAAAACCGCCAAGAACGGCAGCCAACTATCCCCCCAAGCCAAGGCCAACCTCACCGCCCTCCTGGTTGAACACAACGACGTGTTTTCCTGGACTCACTTCGATATGCCGGGTATTGATCCCTCCTTCATCAGCTACCATCTCAGTGTTGAGCCCCATTTCTGACCTATCCGCCAGAAGCAGCGCATTTTTCACCCAGAACGCAACAACCTTATTGCTTCTGAAGTAGACAAACTCCTCGAGGCCCAGTTTATCACTAATGTGGACTACCCCAGATGGCTATCGAATATGGTTTTGGTTCGTAAAAACAATGGCAAATGGCGACTCTGTGTCGACTACTCCGACCTTAACCGAGCTTGCCCCAAGGACAGCTACCCTCTCTCTTGCATAGATCTGCTGGTCGATGCCACGGCTGGTCATCAAATGCTCAGCTTCATAGATGCCTTCTCTGGATACAACTAAATCTTGATGCACCCATCTGACCAGGAGCACACCTCCTTCATCACCGATCGAGGCACCTACCATTACCGTGTGATGCCATTTGGGTTGAAAAATATCGGGGCCACTTACCAACGGCTGGTCAATGCCGTCTTCCACCATCAAATAGGCCGGAACATGGAAGTATATGTCGATGACATGCTGGTCAAAAGTAAGCTCTATACCGATCATCTGGCCGACCTGCAGGAAACCTTCGCCACTCTACGGAAGTACCAGATGAAACTCAATCCGGAAAAATGTGCCTTCGGCATGGGATTTGGGAAGTTTTTGGGGTTCATGGTCAGTCAGCGAGGCATTGAAGCCAACCCTGAAAAGATCAAGGCCTTGATTGAAATGTAGTCACCCAGAACGGTTAAGGAGGTTCAAAGACTCACTAGCCGAGTTGCCGCCCTTAACCGCTTCATTTCCCGCGCAACGATAAGTGCATCCCCTTCTCCAAAGTTCTTCGGCAAACTTTTGAATGGACGACCGAATCCGAAGAGGCTTTTCAGCGGTTAAAGCAGTGCATGGCCAACCCTCCCTCCTTTCACAGGCAATCACGGGCGAACCCCTTTTCCTCTATTTAGCTGTGTCAAGCACCACAGTCAGTACAGCTCTTATCAAGGAAGACGACTCTATCCAACGACCGGTCTACTACATCAGTCGGGCTCTTAGGGGAGCGGAGCAGAATTATCCATTGTTAGAAAAATTATTCTTGGCCTTGGTCACCGTCTCCAGAAGACTCCGCCCCTACTTCCAAGCCCATTCCATAGTGGTCCTCACTGACCAACCGCTAAACAAGATAATGCAACAACCAGAGCTTTCCGGCAGACTTATGCAATGGTCGATCGAACTCAGTCAGTTCGATATCTCCTACCGGCCTCGGACAGTAATTAAATGACAGGCTGTTGCTGACTTCATCTTGGAATTCACTAACCTCATCCCAACCACATCTCCTTTGCTCCCCACCAACCCCTAGAAGACCCCCACTCTTGGACCTTCAACGTCGACGCATCATCCCGCAAAGAAGGCAGTGAGGCTGGCCTCATCCTCACCGCCCCTGACGATGGTTATTTCAAATGTGCTCTCTGCTTCCTGTTTGATGCAAGCAATAATAAGGCCGAATATAAGGCATTGATAGCAGGTCTTCGCCTAGCCAGAGACATCAGTGTCAGCCACATCCGGGTGTTCAGTGATTCCCAACTTATTGTTGGGCAAATTACGGGGGAATTCGACGCCAAGGAGGACACCATGCGGGCATATAGGGATGTTGCTCTTCCCCTTGCTCGCCTTTTCAATACCTTCCATATCAAGCACATCCCTCGAGCTGAAAACTCCAAGGCAGATGAGATGGCTCAATTGACTTCTGCAGACCAGTCAGATCTCAACCACGGGGTCCGACTCGAATACCTGACCCACCCGGCCATCTCCCTTAACCTGCAGGAAGTCCACTTCCTCCAAAATGAACATATCCTATAGGCGGCAGACATCTTTCTGTATTTGACAACGGGGGAACTTCCAGACGACAAATAGGAGGCCGCCAAAGTCAAGGCTCGGTCATCCAACTACATTCTTGTTGGCGACCTCTTATACAAATGTGGTTTTTCACTCCCATACCTCAGATGCCTCAATCCTGCTCAAGCAACCTACGTGATGAGGGAGATCCATGAGGGTATCTGTGGTAATCATTTAGGCGCCCGGTCTCTCGCCCACAAAATCCTCCGCACTGGTTATTTCTAGCCTACTCTTAATCAGGATGCGACAGACTTCGTGCTCAAATGTGATAAGTGCCAGCTTTTTGCCAACATCCCCCATGCTCCTCCTATAGAATTGATCACGCTTTGCAGTCCCTACCCATTCGCCAAATGGGGGATCGACCTGGTTGGCCCATTGCGCACTGGCCGAGGCCAAACCAAATTTGCCATTGTCGCCATTGATTACTTCACCAAATGGGTGGAGGCAAAACCCCTTGCCACAATTACCGAGCGGAACACAACTAGGTTTATTTGGCAGTCGATCGTATGTAGATTTGGCATCCCTCAAGCCATCGTCTTCGACAACGGCAAACAATTCGACAATGCCAAGTTCAGGAAATTCTGTGCAGAGCTTCAAATCCAGCCATGTTTCTCTTCCCCAGGTCACCCCCAAGCCAATGGCCAAGTTGAGGTCACCAATTGTTCTCTTCTGAAGATCATCAAAACCAAGTTGGAAGCTGCTAAGGGACTTTGGGTTGAGGAACTACCAAATGTACTTTGGGCCGAGGAACTACCAAATGTACTTTGGGCCTACCGCACTATCGCTCGAACTCCCACTAGGGAGACCCCCTTTCGCTTAACATACGGCGTTGAGGCGGTCATCCTAGTGGAAGTCGGTCTTTTTACCCCAAGGTTCTACATCCGAATCTAGAGCTGACTGAAGAGCTGCGTTGGGCAGACCTAGACCTAATCGAAGAGCTCTGAGAAACCACTGCAGTCAAACGGGCCTCATACCAATAGAAAATGAGAGCTCACTACAACCGCAAAGTCCGACCAAGGGAGTTCGCCGTGGGGGACCTTGTTTTGTGCGAAGTAACCCTTGCCACCAAGAATATGGCTGAGGGCAAGTTGGCAGCCAAATGAGAAGGACCTTACGTTGTTAAAACCAGACCTCGCCCAGGCACTTACCGACTTCAGGACATGGAAGGCCGCGATCTCCCTCACCCATGGAACGCCGAGCACTTGAAGTGCTATTTTCAATAAAAACTCAATTCTTGTCTCAATCTTTTGCTGTATTTCCTTTTGACAATTTGCACACTTCACTGCTCTCATTCTCCTCTCATGTGATGTAAATTTCTGATCAAGTGGGCTACACTTTAATGACAACAAGCTTATCTCTCAACTATATGCGTGATCTTTCAAATAACGCTTTGATTGTAGCCTCGGCCAGACTGAGCATAACAGCCTCAGCCAGACTGAGCATAAAAGCCTTGGCCAGACCAAGCATACAAAGCCTCAGCCAGACTGAGCATAAAAGCCTCGTCCAGACCGAACATACAAAGCCTCAGCCAGACTGAGCATAAAAGCCTCGTCCAGACCGAACATACAAAGCCTCAGCCAGACTGAGTATAAAAGCCTCGGCCAAACCGAGCATCAAAGCCTCGGCCAGACCGAGCATACAAAGCCTCAGCCAGACTGAGCATAAAAGCCTCGGCCAAATCGAGCATCAAAGCCTCGGCCAGACTGAGCATACAAAGCCTCAGCCAGACCGAGCATGACCAGCCTCAGTTAGACTGAGCATGACAAGCCTCAGCTAGACTGAGCATGACCAGCCTCAGTCGGACTGAGCATGACCACCCTCAGCCAGACTGAGCATGACAAGCTTCAGACAGATCGAGCATGGCAAGTCTCAGCCAGACTGAGCGTAAAACCCTCGACCAGACCGAGCCTACACAACCTCAGCCAGATTGAGTTACTTCAAGCTACTGAATTACTTGCAGAGTCAGTTAATCATAGCTTAACCCCAACTGAGTACGCATGCAGAGCTCGGTCAAGGCCATTCATGCAAACTTCATGTCTGTGGCATTAGTAGACACACTTAGTCAAATTCCAAACTCATCTTTTATTTACCAACACTCTTGCAACATAATTTACAACTCCATTTCTGGGCATAATTTGAAACTTCAGACTCTTTTATTTACCAACACTTAGTCAAATTCATTCCAGATGGCAAACACAAACTTATAATTTTATTACATTTTCAACTTCACTCTGCATGGAGTTTTTATTACAAGTTCAACTTCACTTTGCATTGAGTTTTTCTTAACTTTACTCTGCATTCAGTTTTTCTTACATTTCAACATTGGCTTTGCGTTGAGTTTCCCTTACACAAGCCTCATACACAAGTCACCACTCTCATTCATTTCAGATGCACAAGAAAAAACAATGGATTGAAAACACAACTCAAATTTTATTTATTCACAAACTTGTACATAAGTTCATTACAACAATTCAAAAAAAAAAAAAAAAAACACACACAAAAAACCCTAAGTACAGGTTTTGTTCACACCAGTCACTCTTCTTCACTTGAAACAAGGTCTTCTTCTTCAACGCCCTCATCCAGAGGGGTCTGGGCCACGTCGTCTTCATCAATCCTTACACCGCTAAGGTCCAAGTCTGAGAACAGTTCTTCTGCCTTCCGCCTGAACATCTTCCAGCCACTGTCCCAGAACTCAGCCACTTCGTGTTTGTAGAAGTCCGACCGCTGGAAGCTCTCAATAACTTCTACTTCTATCCTGCCCCCAGCAGTTGTTCCCGACGGACCCGCCCCCCCAGACACCTCCCTTGCCAAGTTGCTGGCGACCGCGGCATTGATGGCCATCTGAAATTCAGCAGGCCCCTTGAATTGCTCTACTGCTGCGATGCACAAGTCGGGGTATGCTGCCCTTTCAGAGGCTGCCTTGGTTTTTTCTTCTTCCAACTCCTCCTGCAACCTCGCCTTCCCCTCTATTGCCCTAGCACGCTTATCTTCCAGCTCCTTCTGCAGCCCAGCAATCTTCACATCTGCTTCATCCTTCTCTTTGATCTGCTGGGCGCGCAGCTCTTCATTGTTGATCATAGCCTCTTCAAACCGCTCGGTGGCGACCGTGCAGGCATTTTGAGCATCCTGCAGCTTCTTCTGCTTGCCAGCCAGCTGGAACTCGAGCGACACTACCTTGCGGCGTTCGTCCTCTAGCTCCAGCTTGACCGCAAGTAGCTCAGCATGGGCACGGTCGGCAACATTGCCCTCCACGATCGCCAATACTTCCATCTTTTTCGCTTTCTTCGCCTCCTCCAACCCCCTGGCACACGCACTCCGCACAGCCCTTCTCCAATCTACGCTCTCCCTCTTCAAATTTTCAAGTTGGGCCTTCACCTGCCCCAACTTCTCTCTCTCTCTCCTCCATTCGCCTTTTGCCACCGCCACCTTATTCAACGGGCCTCCTGCTAGAACAGTCGCCTTCATCTAGGCTGAGCATAACCCCTCCATCAGCTCAGCCTCAGTATAACCAGCCACCGAGCGGACGGTTGCGTTTTCCACCACCCCCAAGAGGTGGTTAACAGCCATCCTGGCCTCCCTCCCTTCCCCTCCTACTCGCCCGGACACCGCAAGGGATGTAGTAGCAGGCGGTCTTCAACACAGGCCTCTCTCCCTCTCCTTGGGGTACCAAACCCTCCTACGGTTGTGGCTCTTCCCTTGGTTCCACCCTTGGCTCAACGCCGACCCCATTACTCTGCAATTGCTCACCAAGGCCAGTCGCCCCACCCTCTCCCTCTTTGGCCTCCCCCTCCAATCCCATTTTGGGGGTCCCTTCTGCTTCCCTCGCCAAGGGAGTCTACTCTGTTGTCGCCTCCTTCCTCTTCTTCAAGGCAGGCTCCCCCTCACTCTTTCTCAATCTCTTCTTCTTTTTTACCACACCCCCCATCTCCTCATATGCTCTTTCCTTCAACGGATCAACTGGGGGCGGTCGTGGCTCAAATCCACCTAAGTCCTTTTTTCCCAAGGGTTTGGGGCGCGGTTGGATCCTCTCCTTCGCGATCGGCTTCGGCGTTCGGTCTTCCTGGGACTCTTTGAACTTACTGGCTTTGGCGAGGATGGTCATATCCTCCGCCTCTTGCACTCTTTTTCTCGGCTCTAACTCCGCCGGTCCCAAGTCTCCACCGATCGGCTAAGGGCCCAACCCAGCCGCAAACAAGGCCGATGGCTGAACAAGCTCGTCCCATCGGGTGCCCTCCTTCTCCCTCCATTCTTTCACCCCCTTCATTCTTGCCTCTGCTGCTGCCCCCAGTTTTGGCTCCACAGACTTGGCGGGCACTTTCCAAACAGTGCGCACTCCAACCCCTCCGTTGGCGGACACATAGAACCACCGCGGCCTCCACCCCTTTATCGACGACGGCAACCCCGCTACCAACCCCTTTCCTGCCGCCGCTTGCAAAGTGAGCCAAGTCTCTTGCTGCCCCGACGCCTTGTAGCACGCAAAAAATTCGTCCACTGTTATGGCCGCCCCTCGTTCGCCTTTGGCCATGCGCTCGCGCAAGCTAGTACAGTCTTCCACACGTTGGGCATCAATTGACCTGGCGCCACTTCCAACCGGTTTAGGACACCAACTACCACCTCCGGAATCGGCAACCTCAACCCTCCCTTCAACGCCTCCTCGTAGAGGGTAAACTCCCCCGGTCGGGCGTCGGATGGCCTCTCCTTCGTAGACGGCAGCTTCAACTCTATTTCAGCGGGAATTTGGTACCTCTCGCGTATACTCACCAACTCTCTCGCGGTGATAATCGACTTATCGACCTTTGTATGCCAATGATTCGGCTCCACCTGGCTGATTGGCATCGGCGCCGCCATCATTGTGGACGAACGAGGTCACCCCGACGGCTCCTCCCCACTCCACACTCGCCTTTTCGGCCTATATTGCTCTGCCAAATCCATCGCGTCGTCGTCCCCCAGTGGATCAACCCTGGCATTTGCAGTTTCTTCTTGGGCCATTTCTGTGGTGTGTCTACGAATAACTTCGGATGCTGGCGCAAGGAAATTCAAAAAATGTCGCAAGGGTGTATCACTTGCAACGAAGGAGTCTATACTTTGAGTGTTTTGATTTTTCGAAAAAAGATAGGTAAAACGTATAATACCAAAAGCCCAAGGCTTGCCTGTATTTCAGGAGTCACAATTAATTTTTGTCAGTTTGAAAATTTTTCAACCATCCGCCAAAACTATCTTTTCAACACCCATTATGACCTATCGTTTCACTTCTGGCCCAACGCCTAACCTCCCCCACCACGAGATGCTGCCACGTGTACGACCACGATTCACTGCCCCCTTCCCCTACCCTGTCTTTTCCACTTCAAGTCATCACGTGACCCACCGTCTCTCGAGCCCCGCACCCCGCCACCTCACCCTTCGCGGTCGGCCCTCCTCACGGTCGGTCCCTCCACTTGGTTACCTTTCGCGGTCGGCCCTCCTCACGATCGGTCCCTCTACTCGGCTACCCTTCGCGGTCGGCCCTCCTCACGGTCGGTCCTTTCACCCGGCTACCCTTCGCGGTCGGCCCTTCGCACGGTCGGTCCCTCCACCCGGTTACCCTTCGCGGTCGGCCCTCTGCACGGTCGGTCCCTCCACTCGGCCACTTCTGGTCGTTCGTTCCTTTTACCCAACCTCCAACCCCCATCTTCCTCATTATTCCCTTCATTGGATTAAAGCTGCACTTGGGAATGGGGGACTACTGACGTGGGTAGGCCCATAAAGGCCATAACCCACTATAAACAACCCAAGCTTACCACTTAGGGCCCAATACATAACACAACTGATAAGGCCCAACACAGTTGGAAGTCAACATGACATGAAGGACCAATGATATTCAGACACGTGGTAGGTAAAGGGCAAGCCACATCAGCAGACAAAGATCTGCAAAGTTATTGCCACTGCACATCACCATTAATGCACCCCTCACAGCATTTATTACGACAACACCTCTCCGTCGGGACAGCACGCCCTCACCCTAAACAAGGTAAGCTACAACATAGACTTTTGGCCAAGGTGACAGGTCAGAAGGGACAACGAAATGATTACCAAAGGATATAAGCAGACGTTAAAGACAAGAAGAGGGCTAAGCTTTTCTATCTCTAATTCATATACCTCCATCCTACTTCCTCTTCTTCTAACTTGCTCGTCGGAGGGTTCACTGGGGGACTCCCGTTCCCCGTTGAACTCGTGTGCAGGTTCATTGGTGGGCTTGGCTATCCAGATACCGGTTAGAGAAGCGTGGACCAGACCGACCCATTTCGTTTGGGACCCTTTATATCATAACTGTATCATCAATATATATAAATTTATATAAAAAATATCATAAAAATATTATGATACTAATGTTGTTGAAAATATAAATAATGTTTATGGATATATATATTTTTTAAAGTGAAATGTCACTATTAAGTTATATCGCTATATTTGAAAATTTTATATAAAGTTTATGTCGGTATATTATCACTCAATAAGAATATGTTTAGGTAAAATTTAATGATAAAAAATTATATAATGTAGTCATAATGATAGGAAAAAAAAAATGGTTGGAAAATGGGCAAAATAGTCATTTAGAAAATTTTATGGCATGATATCAGCAATCTATGGAACAATTTGTAACAAGATTACAAACCTCAGAAAGAAAAATATAATTTTTCAAACATGAGAAAACAATCTATATTAAATAGAAATCTCATGCATATCAATGTAATTTATTTAAATTTTTTGATCAAACTAAAATAGTCAAAAAAAAAAAAAAAAAAAAAAAAAAAAAAAAATCAAATAGGGAACTAAAATAACAAACTTCCCAGCCCAAACTACGGGTAAAACAGCTATCACAGCCTCCTGTTTCATTTCTCATCTACAAACCAGTGTGTTTGCGTCTTTATATATAGACCAACTCATATGCCAATTCCTTCATCAAATCCGAAATTCCTCAAAAACCTCTCATATCTATCACTCAAGATCATTACCAAATTTAAAGAAAGAAGAAGAAAAAAGATGAGTTCGACAAGTAGAGCTTGGATTGTAGCAGCAAGCGTTGGGGCTGTAGAGGCACTGAAAGATCAAGGGTTCTGTAGATGGAACTACGCCATGAGATCCATACACCACCACGCCAAGAACAATCTGAGGTCTTACTCTCAAGCCAAGAAACTCTCTCCCTCCTCCTCCGCCGTGGTTTCGAGTAAAATAAGGGAAGACAAGGCAAAGCAGTCAGAGGAGTCTCTCAGCAAAGTCATGTACTTGAGCTGTTGGGGTCCCAATTGAAACCCCCAAATGAATTGATATATTTTCTCTGTCTACCTATTAGATGTAGTTTTGAGAATTTTGTTTTTCCGAGATTCAATCGTAAAAAAAAACTCTACAAATAGCTGTTAAGATCATTCATACAGGTTGCATTATAATGGAAAAAGATCAAATTTTGATAAATGGTTCTCATCAGGATCCGTTTGATAGATCGTGAGAAAGCGATTATAAATTATAATTTAATAGGTTATATTTTATAATTGTAAAAATAAGTTAATTTTTTATTTATAGATTAAGTTTCTCCCTTTCCATTTAATGAATAAATTAATTTTTGATTTACAAAAAAATTATAATCTATATTGTTAAGTTGAATCAAATATATCAAAATAATTTAAATTAATAAATTAAATTAAAAACTGAAATAAGTTAGAAATAAGAGTTACCAAAAAAGGCCAATGTTATTTGAAAGTTCGTTCTTCAATTACACTACTAATACCAAGACATTTGAGGACTGAAAATTTAGAAGCCAAATGAAACTTTTTGTTTGCACCAATTTTAATGTTCTAAATTTGCAAACCAAATGAAAGTTTCTTCTTTTGGTTTGCACCATTTTTATTTATTTTTTTTGGGTGGAGAAAAACGCTTTTTTGTATGAGGATGATCCTCGCGTCGATCGACTTAAAAAATTATTTCTTCATCGATTTCTTTGTTTTTTTCTGGTGAGAAAGTAGACAATTTTTCCCATTTTTTCATCTAAGCCCTCCATTCTTAGACGGATGAGAGAGATATTTTTTGGACTTGACTATTGAAGTTTCAAATACATCATAATAATGATCCGTTCAAAACAAAATTCATGATAATGATCAATATCAAATTGAGCCTGCAATTTCGTGGGTTCACAAATCATCTTATTAGTATTTTATCACAAAATTCAATTGTTTAAAAATTAGGGATAATTGTGATAAGTTCATTTTTATGCAGGATATCACTTTTGATTCAATGATTGATCTTTGGCTTTTATGGGAATAAAGGCATAATTAATAAAATTATTTACCATCACGTGTTGAAAAAATTAAAAAAGTTGTCAGTTGGTGTGATAAATTAGGTAGATAGATATGTGACATGTGGGTAAATAGAAGAATAATATGCGGATAGATAAGTGGGTTAATATGTGACATGGATAGATAGGTGAACAATGGACAGATAAATGGATATGTAGGGATAGAGAGATATGTGATATGTAGACAAATAGAAGAATAATATGTGAATAGATAGGTAGGCAGATAGGTGACATGGATAGATAAGTGAACAGTAGACAGATAAATAGATATGTAGGAATAATATGGTCTTTGTTCATTTAGTCCCAAAAGAATAGACTATGGAACTATTAGGAAATTTTATTTACATACAACATTTAATGAAATTTATTTTAATAACAATTATGTCTTAAAATAAAATGATTATAATGGACATTAAAATACACCTTTAATATTATATTCAAATTTTCTCTATATATATCTTTTAAAAATAAAAAATTTCCATGCACATCTTGATGAATGAGTACATATTTTTATAATAAAAAATTTGACTCCGGTCTTCATCACCGACAATTCTTCTATGAACTCCTTGTATTCAGCTATGGATGCTCACTGGTTTCCTCATTCTCTGGACTACGGTTATGGAGCTTTTCCAAAGATTCCAAAAGTTGTTTTTTTGTGCAATTTTTCTTTTCTTCACAATTTTCATTTGGCCAGCCAGTGCTAAAACTTTTTATTTTTGTTGGAAATCAATTGTCGAAATTATTATTTTTGTTTGAAAAAAAAAATTCCGAATTGAAAAAAATAGTTACATTCAGAAATCAAGTTTTGAAATTTTAGGAAATTTTCAGAAGTTAACAACCAAAAAAACTAATTCTATTTGGAAAATCAATACTGAATGATCAAAACTTAATTCTCTAGTTCTTTTCACTTAACTAATTTTTTTTTTTATTGTGGTTGGGAACAATTGGATTAGAGGAATTGGTGTTTGAGTCCGTGTCTAGCTCTTGTTTGACTTTGTGCGAGTTGGGACTTGAATTGAATGGAATTGAGCTCGTCTCTAGTGATTTATCAGTGGCGGAGGCAAAGATTGAGAACCTGGATGCTAGTTCCAGTAGGGCGTTGTTGGAGGGGAATTTGAGAGTGCAATTGAGACATTCATGACTACTGCAAACATCGTTAGGAAGTGTTCTCGGAGTTTTGTTGGTTTCCGACGAGTTGAAGATCTATGGTTTGGTTCACCGGAATCTCTAGAAGAGCAGTGAAGGAACTACCAGTTTTTGGTGGGTGTGTGTTTGGGTGGAAAGTGTGCGTATAATATTTGAGTTAAGGGCTATAATTAAAATATATGGTGTGTGAAATGAGATAAATAATGTTTAATTAAATTCATATATGTGTGCACTGAGGAATGATGTGTATTGAGGTAATAAGTATGTGGAAATAAAATTTTTCGGAATTATTGCCTCAAAGATTTTGAAATTAAAAAAATTATCATTTTCAATAAAAAAATATTCCTTAAATTACTTAATTACTTTTGTATTAATCTTGACCACAAATAACGAATAATTATTTATTTCATTGTGAGAGGTCTTTATGTTTTCTTGTTATGAATTTTTTCTTGTGTTGATTATTTATTGTGTTGTTTATTGAGTTTCTAAATATGCGTTTTTTTTTTATCAGCAAAAAGAATCTTTATTGATGGAATCATTCAAAAGATGAAAGGGAACATCAATAAAGAGGAGCTCGGAGCTACATTCAGCTCGGAGCTCCAGTTGGAGAGAATCCAACACAGAGAGAGAACCAAAAAAACTGTAGCAAGACTACCAACAGCATACAAGCTCCCTTCACTGCTGTAAGGGACCAGAACAGAAAAGGGAAACAAACTGGGGTGTGGTGCTGGTGGGCTGCAGTTAAAGACCCGGGTGTGAAGGTGCCAGCTGGGGTGTGGGAGTGTATGGCATCTCCAAAGATGCAATTCTTCTGCTGGTTGGCTTGGAGAGGCAGAGTAAAGACTTCGTCATTCCTACATAGGATTGGGGTCTTACCTGCCAATGCATTGTCCAAGTGTGTGTTCTGTCAAAGAGTTGCTTATAATTGTCCAGTTTGATTAATTCTCCTTATATTTATAAGCAATTTCCTATCAATTGAACTATAAAAATTAAAAAAATATTCCCTAGTAAGCAAGTTATCAAAAAGTATTGATAATTTTTCTATTAATAATAATATGAAGAAAATTAAAATAAAAAATAATTAGTAATAAAGGAATCATATATGCATATAGGAGCTGGATTTCTTATAGTCTATAATTTGGATTGGAAGATGCTATTCAGACCTTTGAAGCCCACCATAAATTGAGTTTTGATGATCCAAATCGTTTATTTTTTAAGGTTATTCATGTATATCAGGGGAGCAAGTTAACTAGATAATGTAACCAATTCAATTTATCACATTTGTATCTAAAAAAATTAATGATAAATGTGTTTTTAAAAATAGACTATTTATTTTTTTGGCAAGAAACAGGATAAATTAAATAAATAATAATTATCATATTTACTCTTTTTTTTTTGGATGATTTATTCGAAGAATTATTATTTTTTTGATAATTCGGTGTCCAGCCTATTGGACTAACTAATTTGAGAGGCCAATTCTAACATCCACTTCGGACGTTCCAATTAAAGTTAGGGCCAAAAGTCCCGTATGGGATGACCCTAAAAAGTTGTTTACACTTATGAGGTTTTGAGCTTGAGACCTTGAAAAGAGTATAATCCCAAGTCTCAAGTCTTGACTAACAAGCCAATCGCTTGACGTTATGCACAAAGGACCTTACAAAATAAACGGTTCAAATCATCAAAATAAAATTTATGATGGACTCCACAGATCTGAACATCACCTTCCGATGTGACTGGGGAAAGCCCAATCCATATATATATATATATATATATATACAATGAGTTTAGATATATAAAATTGTCGGAGTGATATTGTATTTTTTATAATAAATTCCACCATCATATCATATAAAGTAGAGACTTTTCTTGCGAAACTCTAGAAATGTGTCATGTGTCACTTTTAGCCCTTTAGAATTTTGTCAAGTGTCCTTCCTATAGTTAAAGAGATGGCTTTCTATTTATTAAGCTTTTCCTCATCCTTGGCAAATTTTTTTTTTCCTCATCTCTCATCTCTCTGTCTCTGTCTCTGTTTTTATTTTTTTTTCTTTTTTTTTCCCTTTTATTTATATAAGTAATGTCACGACAAAACCTGCACCTATAAGTTTAGCATCGTAACCGGCTAGTAATCCGTGATTACTAAAGGTTTTCCTGTACCAATCAAATGATCGAGGCTAACGAAAGCTAATATATCGGAAAATAAAATGTCCAACGAGCTATGGCAACGTATATGAGACAAAATGCATTGCTATAGATATATATACATATTTGTACATCAAGATACAACAAGTTTACCAAAATACAACCGAGAGAGAAAGAGAGAGTACATTCCCATCAGCACCATATGTGTAAGCAAAATGAAACTGTTCATAACATGTGAGTGACTGACAAAAGGGTGATCACCGGCCATTCTAGCCTTGACAAATGGAAACCTCGTAGTGAGACACAAAATGTAGCTTGACAAAACTGTGGCAAGGTCGATACCACTAAGTCCCCTCTCGCACTGGATCACCTACATATACATATAAATATAAACTCATGAGCTAGAGCCTAGTGAATAACAATAGTGTAATGAGGCTATGAATGATGTCCTTACTGTAAAGCAAATCATATACTTAATAGATTCTTATCTCATATAGGAAGCACAAATGTTATACGTGGTACATCCAATAGCAAACTAGTACAGACGGTCTTGAAGACTGAGCGGATGATCATGAAGACCGACAATCAGATATGATGGCCATCAATGTAGTAAATAGGAGTTCCAAGAATTAGAACTGACAGAGATCTCTGTAACAATATAAACAGGTGCTAAGGATGCCACGAAATACAATGTAAGAGAATAGGATCATCATTCATTAAGCAAAAGAAACATGTCAGAATAGAGGATAATATAAAGCAGA